GGGAGGAGTATGTCAACCACATCACAACAACCTACCAATTCGTCAATGTCATTGGGAGGAGTATGTTTTTGGGAGGAGTATGTCAACCACATCACAACAACCTACCAATTCGTCAATGTCCTTGGGAGGAGTATGTCAACCACATCACAACAACCTACCAATTCGTCAATGTCCTGGGGAGGAGTATGTTTACCACATCACAACAACCTACCAATTCGTCAATGTCCTGCGGAGGAGTATGTGTGTATCCCCATGGTGTCATCCAATATTGACTGTAAGAATGTACGTTCAGGTATGCTTTGATGTTTCCACGAGATTCCGTGGCATACTTTATTGCTGTGGATTCCCTTTCACTGAACGCTCCCGTTCCTCTATAGAGGTCCGAACATTTCTGCCCACTTGTACCTTCACCTTCAGTTAAAAATTAGTTGTATTAAGGTATCATAAGGAAAAAATGAGTTTCTCTTGTAAATAGACAGCAAAGTGACCTATGGATCCAGACATAAAAAACACCTGTGTTACTACAATGAGGTCAATGTGTTACCACATAGAGAACACTGTTACTTCAAAGAGGTCACTGTGTTACTACATAGAATACACTGTGTTACCACATAGAGAACAATGTGTTACTACATTGAGAACACTGTGTTACTACATAGAGAACACTGTATTACTACATAGAGAACATTGTATTTCTACATTGAGAACACTGCGTTACTACATAGAGAACACTGTATTACTACATAGAGAACACTGTATTACTACATAGAGAACACTGTATTACTACATAGAGAACACTGTATTACTACATAGAGAACACTGTATTACTACATAGAGAACACTGTATTACTACATAGAGAACACTGTATTACTACATAGAGAACACTGTATTACTACATAGAGAACACTGTATTACTACATAGAGAACACTGTATTACTACATAGAGAACACTGTATTACTACATAGAGAACACTGTATTACTACATAGAGAACACTGTATTACTACATAGAGAACACTGTATTACTACATAGAGAACACTGTATTACTACATAGAGAACACTGTATTACTACATAGAGAACACTGTATTACTACATAGAGAACACTGTATTACTACATAGAGAACACTGTATTACTACATAGAGAACACTGTATTACTACATAGAGAACACTGTATTACTACATAGAGAACACTGTATTACTACATAGAGAACACTGTGTTACTACATAGAGAACACTGTATTACTAAATAGAGAACACTGTATTACTACATAGAGAACATTGTATTACTACATAGAGAACACTGTGTTACTACATTGAGAACACTGTATACAGAGGAACCAGATACATTATTACTACATAGAGAACATTGTATTACTACATAGAGAACACTGTAGTACTACATTGAGAACATTGTGTTACTACATAGAGAACACTGTGTTACTACACAGAGAAAACTGTATTACTACATAGAGAACATTGTATTTCTACATTGAGAACGTTGTATTTCTACATTGAGAACATTGTATTTCTACATTTAGAACATTGTATTTCTACATTGAGAACATTGTATTACTACATAGAGAACACTGTATTACTACATAGAGAACACTGTATTACTACATTGAGAACACTGTATTACTACATAGAGAACACTGTGTTACTACATAGAGAACACTGTATTACTACATAGAGAACACTGTATTACTACATAGAGAACACTGTATTACTACATAGAGAACACTGTATTACTACATAGAGAACACTGTATTACTACATAGAGAACACTGTATTACTACATAGAGAACACTGTATTACTACATAGAGAACACTGTATTACTACATAGAGAACACTGTATTACTACATAGAGAACACTGTATTACTACATAGAGAACACTGTATTACTACATAGAGAACACTGTATTACTACATAGAGAACACTGTATTACTACATAGAGAACACTGTATTACTACATAGAGAACACTGTATTACTACATAGAGAACACTGTATTACTACATAGAGAACACTGTATTACTACATAGAGAACACTGTATTACTACATAGAGAACACTGTATTACTACATAGAGAACACTGTATTACTACATAGAGAACACTGTATTACTACATAGAGAACACTGTATTACTACATAGAGAACACTGTATTACTACATAGAGAACACTGTATTACTACATAGAGAACACTGTGTTACTACATAGAGAACACTGTGTTATTGACTTACCTCCGAACCCAAGCTCGAAGTTCCTGTTGAGGTCCACTCCATAACATAATCCGTTTCCGTTTCTATTTCTATTTTTCCTCCACATACGCTAAATATTATAAAGATATGTGATACAAATAATCGAACAAAGTTAATATAGGTAATAATACACAATTTCAACGTTATGCAACGGATGTTTGAACAAATCTGGGTAATTCTAGCGCATCCCAATAACCTTCTAGACTGCATTACTCAAAATCTTGTTTTTCCATATTATATTCGTGTAGATAATGTTGAATCAGTCCGTTCTAGATCTGTACTGTATAGTACGGTCTTGTATATGTAATCTTTGTCAGTGCTATAGTCCATTTTGATGTTTCAATTTTAAATCATGTTTTATTTCCTTTCAATGAAATGTTCTAAGATTTGTTTTTATATTTTAAAGTTGCAGATTTTCTTGCCATATGGAAATAATAAAAACATTTTACTTGTCTGCCTTTCAGAATTAGCAAAAAAATATCACAATATCAATATGTCAAAAGGCAAAGTAAAGCGATAAGGACAACTGCAAGGGTGTTTGGTATACCAGAGTCAATCCTCAGGGCTAGAATTCACCATCCTGCACTGCTAGACAGTGATGTTGTGCGCCAAACCGAGGAGTCAAAGTTTGCCGATCAATCCAATATAACGGCTAGAACTGGAGACGAACACACCAGGGCACAAGTGACAGCAATAAAATATGTCTAAGAAACGGAGCTTGTATTTAACAGAAATAACTTAAAAGTAAGCCATACTTAGTTTAGATTGTTGATGGAACTGGCATTGCTTTGGTTCTAACACCTTCCAAAAATGTTAATTCAAAAGGAGACAGGCCGATTGCTGCATCACCAAGTACCATATATTATATACAAGAGGCAGCGACTCGTAACGATATTATATACAAGAGGCAGCGAATCGTAACGATATTATACACAAGAGGCAGCGACTCGTAACGAGAGTATATACAAGAGGCACCGACTCGTAAAGATATTATATACAAGCGGCAGCGACTCGAAACGATAGTATATACAAGAGGCAGCGAGTCGTAACGATATTATGTACAAGAGGCAGCGACTCGTAAAAACAACAAAAGAGTGTGGATACCTTAAACCAAGATTGCCACGACACAAAACGGTTGGTCAACAAAACTGACATTCCATGTAAAATCTTAGCCATGTCTTTGCTTATGATGAACATTCAACTCCCATTACTCCAAATTTGATTGAAGTTGTTTGGGAAAATGATATTCACATGTTCCTGCTGCCACCCCTACCCCAGCCATCCTCTACAACCCCCTAGATGTCGGTATTGATATACAAGAGGCACCGACTCGAAACGATATTATGTACAAGAGGCAGCGAATCGTAACGATATTATGTCCAAGAGGCAGCGACTGGTAACGGTATTATATACAAGAGGCAGCCACTCGAAACGATATTATGTACAAGAGGCAGCGACTCGTAACGATATTATGTACAAGAGGCAGCGACTCGTAACGATAGTATATACAAGAGGCAGCGACTCGTAACGATATTATATACAAGAGGCAGCGACTCGTAACGATATTATATACAAGAGGCAGCGACTCGTAA